GCTCGATATATCTGATTTTTGTTATGTCAAAATGCTCTGTTTGTTTGTTTGTTTGTATGTTTGTTTGAACAAAGAGTGAATGCCATGGAGCATATTGTGTAGGTCATTTTACAAATGTACCATTTACTATTCTTTGTATTATATGAACTGCCCTGCATATATGCCATTAGCCCCATATTAATCTGTATTTGTTTAAAACCCACTTAAAATGTCTGATAAAATCTTGTCCCTTCCTTATAAGAAGAAATTTTTATTTCTTTCCAATAATTGTTACAAAAACTCACTACAGTCAATAAACTGATATGTCACGACACATTGACAGTAAGACAAGAGCACTGGTATACAGAAATAGTTATCACTTACAAAGTATACTGTATTTCACAGTTCTAAGTCTCTGTTTGCCAAATATTGCATGAATATAAACTCCTATTAAGTGAGCATGATTGATCAAATAATATATTCTACAGAAATCCAGAGCATGATAATAAATCATGATCAAAGCATGCTTGAACAGAAATCCAGAAATATGAACTCTAATTAGGTGAGCATGACCAAATATTGAATCTACAGAAATTCTGAGCATGACTAAATATTGACTCTACAGAAATCCAGAGCATGACCAAATATTGAATCTACAGAAATCCAGAGCATGACCAAATATTGAATCTACAGAAATCTAGAGCTTGGACAAATATTGAATCTACAAAAATCCAGAGCATGACCAAATATTGAATCTACAGAAATCCAGAGCATGACCAAATATTGAATCTACAGAAATCCAGAGCATGATCAAATATTGAATCTACAGAAATCTAGAGCTTGGACAAATATTGAATCTACAGAAATCTAGAGCTTGGACAAATATTGAATCTACAGAAATCCAGAGCATGACCAAATATTGAATCTACAGAAATCTAGAGCTTGTACAAATATTGAATCTACAGAAATCCAGGGCATGACCAAATATTGAATCTACAGAAATCCAGAGCATGACCAAATATTGAATCTACAGAAATCTAGAGCATGACCAAATATTGAATCTACAGAAATCCAGAGCATGATCAAATATTGAATCTACAGAAATCCAGAGCATGTCCAAATATTGAATATACAGAAATCCAGAGCATGACCAAATATTGAATCTACAGAAATCCAGAGCATGAACAAATATTGAATCTACAGAAATCCAGAGCATGACCAAATATTGAATCTACAGAAATCCAGAGCATGATCAAATATTGAATCTACAGAAATCCAGAGCATGACCAAATATTGAATCTACAGAAATCCAGAGCATGACCAAATATTGAATCTACAGAAATCCAGAGCATGACCAAATATTGAATCTACAGAAATCTAGAGCATGACCAAATATTGAATCTACAGAAATCTAGAGCATGACCAAATATTGAATCTACAGAAATCTAGAGCATGACCAAATATTGAATCTACAGAAATCCAGAGCATGACCAAATATTTGATCTACAGAAATCCAGAGCATGACCAAATATTGAATCTACAGAAATCCAGAGCATGATCAAATATTGAATCTACAGAATCCAGAGCATGACCAAATATTGAATCTACAGAAATTCAGAGCTTGACCAAATATTGAATCTACAGAAATCTAGAGCATGACCAAATATTGAATCTACAGAAATCCAGAGCATGGTCAAATATTGAATCTACAGAAATCCAGAGCATGACCAAATATTGAATCTACAGAAATCCAGAGCATGACCAAATATTGAATCTACAGAAATCTAGAGCATGACCAAATATTGAATCTACAGAAATCTAGAGCATGACCAAATATTGAATATACAGAAATCCATAAACTCTTATTATGTGCGCATAATTGATCAAATACTACATTCTATAGAAATTCACAAGACAATTCACTCTCATTAAGTGTCAATGAATAAATTTTTAAAATGAACAAATGTGAATTGAATATTGACAAACAATTGCTCTACAAGAAGATCTCTTCAGAATATTAAGCTTTCATTTATTGAATATTGCAAATAACACACACACCACATGCTTAATAAATTCATGGTCTAAACACTTGCCAGATAACAAAATTTCTTTATTCATCAGAAATTCGATATAAAATAGATGAGTATTGCCAAAAAATGAATATTTCATAAAATTGATCAATATAATCTCTTACATACAGAGTATTACCAATTACCAAGCAGAATTTCGTATAACCTTGTATATTATCAATAAATCAACCTCTTTAAGTAAATACTTCTGTAACATTTATAAAATCCGAATTAACAAAATTTCCAAAATAATATTAAAATCACCAAATTAAAATGAATAATGATAAGAAATATAAGATAAGAATATTTCTCTTATGATATTCCAGTCTTTACCATTCTAATCATCAATCTAGACAAAACCATTTATCAATTTGAGGGAAAATTTCAAAATAAGTATTGGCTGAATAGTCATGGTCATGATACGATGCCACTCAGGTCACGTAGGTAGATTCAGTCACTTCTTATTATTAACAAATTCTCAAAATAAGGATAGCAACTTCAAGATTTCAATACTACAGTATTTTAAATATGAATAAATGTACATTATGCCTTTGTTAATTCACAAAGGACAACTATAGTATGAAATAATATGAAATTAGGCAAAGCCTATGCACGGGGAAGTCCTTAAAAATTCCTTTCATTCTTTCCGTTGTAAAGGTGTCATTCGGTATTACATGCACCGCTTCCGTTTTCACTCGGAACACTCGACGTTTATTATTTATCCGAAAAGTTGATATTTGTTCCGTTATCGGAATACCCCGCCTATTATCATTGAGTTACATTGTAAATGGCGGCGCCCGACTAGAACTGACACTGAAAATTTCATTGATAGGTATAGAATTCTATATATTTTTTAATTTTTTTTTATTTGATTTTCTTTTAAATATACACGTGTAGTCTATAGCCGGGCAAGCCAAAGCCCGGACCCGCTTCGCGGGCCCGGTCTTTGACTTCCCCGTATTATAAAGGCAAGGTGAAGGTCATAGTGTCATTGGAAGGTGAAAAAACATCATCAAGAATAATACAAGTCTGTCAGTCACATACTTCTTTTACACAACAACAACAACAATAATAATATGAGAACTACATTCCTCAACAGGTTTTACAATACCAGGAAAATAACAGAATGATGTTCACTGAATAGCTAGAGAGTAAAAGAATATTTCCATAGAAACAGTGGCTGACAAAAATATTCTATAATTTTGTTTCTTTCCTACTTGCACTATTTTATCATGCAATCTTTTTCTTTTATAAATATAAAAAAGCAGCAACAAAAACTTTAAATGAAAAATTAATATGTGAACAAATTAACAACTGTTGATATATGTAAATCCTAAAGTTGAAAACTTTTTTGTTTCTATTATTGGTAAGAAAACAATGATAAAAGATATCAGGGTGACTTCATATGAATAAAATTACTACATTGTATTTATAGAAAAATTGATTTTAACAAGAAACACAAGAACAGAGGCATATAATTGTCATGACAATTCATCATTATAACCATCATATTATATAAGACTTTGTTTACAGGTAATACAGACAATACCTGTGAGGGAGGAAATGTTAAAATAAATGTTCATCAATGTGATGCTACCTGTTATATACAATGTATACAGAAAGTATGAGGAAGTTAGCTACGTTTACCCTGCTATCATACCTGTTTTATAATACAATAAGTTTGCCTGTCAGCAAGGACATATATCTTTATTGTACAAGCATTTTGATGGTTATTGCCCCAAAACACAATAATTGTTCAAAGTAATTAACTCTTTATCCAACTGGAACCAACAGTAATTGACCTTTACCACCAGTATAGAGCCAGACCAGCCTGCACATCCATGTAGTCGGACCAGGCTTAGTTCTATACTGTTGGTAAGTGAATTCTGTATTTTGATATTTCAATTCCTGAAACATTGAGTGGACTATCCAAATAATTTGATCAACACACATTTTGTAGGTTATAATGATAAACCCAACTCTGAGAGCTTCTATTCATGAATGATTTGAAAGAAATAATTAGAATTAAATCAGCAAGTAAAATATTTGAACCCCAGAAGAAATCAGATTGTCTTAGTCAAGCATTCAGAAAAACTTCTCTCTAGATTATAAGAATTGTCACAAAAGTAGATCATTATAATGGTAATTTAAATTAGGATAACTCTCATTCCTCTTACATAATGATAACAATGAAAGACATTGAGTAAAAAACTATATGAAGCCAAAGCTGACATTTAAATCTGTTAATCCTAAATTCACTAGCAAGATGAAAGAGCTTATTAACACTGCACTATGTACATAATTATAACCAACAAATCTATCATATTGACCAAACAACCTAGAATATAATGACAACTGACTGGAAACAATTATTCTATTACACTAGCATAGTTACATACATTTCTCATCAGGTACTCATGTAACTATAACAGTATCCTCATATTATACTATAACCACTAACCAATCTATGTACAATATCATCATATACAATATGAAACATTACAAGTCAATCAGCTCCAAGAAATATTTGTCCATCTCAAAATCAAACTGTATATTTCAAACCAAATTACAAACTATCAGTCGATCATACGAGTCCTTTGAAGGTTTCTCCTAACCTTGATATCTAGGTTACACATAATTGCTTTATAATTGACCAATGATTGGGCTCAATGTAAGAGCTCTTTTTATGACTTCAAAGTGCAAGCATTAAGACTTGGTAACTTATAATCAACAAAAACTTTTGGTAACTTATTATCAACAAAGCCTTATGTAATATCAATGAGAAGAAGTTGGTGAACTTAAAAATAGTTTTGTTTTGATCTATGTCTGTCTGGGGGCTTAGATTATGTCACAAAGTGGGTTAAAATTTTCTAGAAAAAATCATTAGATATATGTAAATTGTGACCGTTTTATCAGCAAACTATATTTTAATGTAAATAAACAAATACTAACCTTTTGAGTCTTCTTTCTTGTCCTGAAATAAAATAAAACAAACACAATTAGAAAATATATAAATTAATGTATGATTAGTAATGTGAAGGTTGAAAATTAATGTTTAATTACATTACACAAGTTTCAAGTTATGTGTACATAGTAATTGCAAAACTTTTAAATATTCTCAAAAAAGATATATTAAGCTATATTATAATGTCAAAAATAATAATGAAAAGTCATGAAATAAATAAAATAGTTTTAATAATGAAACTGAATACAAACAACAGAAAACAACAAATGTGATTCCTATACTTACAATAAATCTATACATGTAATTATAGTGAAAACAACAATAATATTATTACACTTACAAATAATCTTTTTATTGAAAATGAAATATTTTATTTCTCAATACATTTGTGAAAAAAAAAATAGTTGAAAATACGACATACCCCCATTGTAATTCTAAATCAGATAATATTCCAAAATAACAAACAAGTTCTTATAACTTTATAGAATGGAGCAAGAGTGCTGGAACAATGGTAGTGTATGGAATACTGATGAAGATAGATAATGATGACCTTGTTAGCAAGGACATATAGGTTTAACTTATCATGTAATTATCTTACATACTCTACTATTGTAATATATAAGGCCAAACCTATATCAACTAATGGGAGTCTATATGTCTAGCAATCTATCAATGTTATACTAATTAATGCTAGTATTGATCAGTTCCAGCAAGTTAAGGATACTATATACTAATTAATGTCTGAAATGAAAAGCATGATGTTAAATTTATTGCTTTTCAAAAAAGAAATAAAGATTATTCATTAAATCAAAAATCATATAAATCAAAGCAAGGGTTGTCTAATAATATGTATATCGTAAGATTTGCTATGTCAACATCTCTGTATTATTTTTTTCCTATAAAGTCAATGACAGTGCATTTTACATCAAATATGTTAATATATTCAATGCTTGACAATATATTTTTTGACTATATTCTGTAAAACAAGAAACAAACTGCTAATTGGCTTACAAACATTACAGAGTTATTTATAGAATATTTGGCATGAAAACATGAAGGTAACTTTTCTAACAAACTACTGCACCTATAGATAATGTTATTGAATAAATCCTGCCAGTATTAGGTATTTGAAACACTTACTTAATATACTAATTATATTCTGATTACTAATTAATATTTTTAGTTCTCACATGAAGAACCATTTCCTTAAGGGGCATTTGAATGTGTTTGATTTAAATAAACCTTTAAAAACGATTTTCTTTATTCTACATTATGGGCTGACCCCTGACGCTGGCTATGTCATGCTACACTACTGTACTGATTAGGGGAGACAACTACTGTTGATAGTTAATATATAGACAGGCTAGAGATAAGTTTTTCAAGAAAATGATAACTATGAGCATATCTTTCAAAGGTTTTTGGTCTGATTAACTTAACTGGCATCATACTTGATTGTTAAATATATGCATGGATATTAGAAATGGAATTGGCACTGATGACATACATGTAGGTGGTTATTTACCACCTCTCAAAATTCATAAATGTGCCTCAGTAAGCTCGTCATATTCGCTACCTGCATATTACATAAGGCAACATGTTCTTTTTCCAAGTGTCATTATTTTGTAGCCATTCATATTAAGATTTTAATATCAGAGAGTGGTTAGTTGCTACATTATATAGGTGTGAATCAACATACCAAAATTATTTAATAATTCCAACATAGCCATCAGATTCAATAAAAATAGCCTCTGCAGTTTCAAACTTCCACTGTTCTGTCCATGTGCCATCATACAGCAACGGCTCTGACACCTGAACAAAACAGTGAACAGTCTTATACTGAACTTATTGCAAGAAATACAGAGACTGGATTCCTCACACAACCAATTTTCAGCACGTAGACTGATCTGTTTTTAACAAGAAAACAGGTAATTCCTTGGTTATATGTTTACCTTGAATAAAATAGGTACAATGTTACAGTAAATTTTTTGTAGCACTAGCCCTAAATAATGTAGAAATAGCCAAACTCTCTGGTACTTAGTGTATATATTAAATATATTTTACTTTAAAAGAGGAAACTATACACTAATAAAAAATACTAATTTTATATATCTGTTAGAATAACTGAAATATAACATGACATGTTAAATATAATTGTTAACCGAAGGTGCTTTTATTCTAGTACTATTTAGAGTTGTCTTCCCTGACAAAAATCTGCAGTATTTAGGAAATGCTTATCATTGCCAGCAAAGCACATCAACAATTTTGATGTGATATTGTGTATTCATTGTAAAATGGTATCAGGGGAGCTAACTCTAATGATTTTAAGAAATATGCAGCACCTGCTGCTCTTTCTCGACTTCAAATTGTTGTCTTGTTTGGTAACCACGGAAACCAGCTTGTATACGTTCTGCTGCTTCTATCTGTTCCTGTGATCTGGTTTTTTCTGGTTTAGTCTAAGTGATGAAAATAAACATGAGATGTTTGTTTTAAAGCTAGGCTCCATTTCTCTTAGGTGTATTAAAATATAAAAAATTAAAATGTTTTAACTTTAAATAGAATTACTGTTACTTCAATCTATGATACTGATAAATAATTAAAATCCTTTGTTTACATTATGTTTCAAGTAAGATTTAAGAGTTTTGAAGAAAATCAATTGTATATAATTTAATAAATTTAATTTATTTAATAAGAATAATGAAATGTTTAAACAAATGTGCACTTTATATGTATACTGAGGTAAAATTACAGTGTGACTTATAAGTGGGAAAAAAAACTTATATTACATGCTTAATATCTAAGAATTGATATATAATGTGTAAGGAAGTTGTATTTATAAACTGTAATACATGCATGCAATCATTTCATGAAAGTGCAATGTTAAAATTTAATTGCATTATCAATATTTTTTATATGTTTGCTGTTGGAACTAAATCAAAATTAAATATTAAATATTAACAGACACAAAAGCAGTGTATGAACCTGGCAATACTGAGAAATCTTTGTTGTCAAACTAAAGTTTAAAACCTAAGTCAGTAAAACAAAATAAAAGTATACATTGTGAACTAATGTTTAAAGACTTAATCATCTACAGGCAATATTTGAAATATAAACTATTTGTTTAGTACCATTTGAGAAATAAAGGGAGCTTTTAACATTTTAAAAACAGCCTAGTTGGTATAGTTATATTGATATTAATTTAGATGATAAAAAGGTAAATTTTACCAATTAGACTGTATTATATTTCATGTTTAAACATTTAGCAGATATATATTTTAAGCAGCTGTAAGCTGAATTATTATACTTAAGCTTGCAACTTGCCGTTACTGAGCAAAAACTGTTTATAATTTCCGGAGTCATGCAAGAGAGAGAGACAGATTTTTTTAAGGCCATTTTACACCAGGAAAATAAGAAAGAGGCTTTCACTTGAAGGCAAATTGCTTAGTTTTTCTTGTATTATAAATAGTATTAAGGTATTCAATTGGTAAGTTAAAAGTTACCATATCCCTTTCATTATGTAAGTGAAAGATTGGTGTGTGTTAATTTCATTGACAGTAGGGGTGTCACGATTAGTAAAAATGACCAATGATTAAAAGGCGACATAAAAGTCCTGTTAAACGTTTAACCGACCTTAGTAATAAAATTCTACGATTTTCAACAATAACTTTGCCTCTTCATGACAAGATATGACATTTTGTTTGTATTTTATTGTACTCAAAATGATTACAATAGAAGTCTGATTATTAGGTAACTATATTCTGTTAGGACAGTACAGTAAACGATCAGATAGCATGCAATCAGAGAAAACAACTGAAATACAAATAGAATGTCTTATCTTGTTATTTAAAACTAAGGTAATGTTTAGATTTTTTTTTAAATCGTAACTTTTTCTTCACTAACCTAAGGTTACCATTTATTGATAGCGTTATAATATAAAAAGTGCATACTCAAACTATATAGTTACAACATTAATTATAATTCAAATATCGTTCAAATAGGTTACAGCAATGTTTGTATATATATTTATTGGTGAGAATAGTAGGTTTAAAGTCAATTAATGATTTAGGAAGATTCTTACATATGTACGTAACAATACTCTAAAATTTTCATTGCACAGAAATATGATTCTATTGAAAGGAAAAGTGTTTAATATCTTGAGTAGAGAGGATTAAACCTGTGATCCCTAGATCTGATGTCTGTTTAAATACATTTCTCAACCAATTTTAACCCTAGTGATGACTATAAAAATATAAACAGTGATTAGGAAAGATCAATAAGCCAAAAAAGAAATATGCCCCCTTTTGTTTATTTGGCAACCTCCAATCACATTATGGTTAAAACTGATCTAAATCCAAATATACTGGACCAAAATCATATTGTGCATACTTCTATACACTGATATGTCATGAAAAAAAAATTTCTTCCGACTAATTTTTCTTAAATTTATTTAAAAAAAAACCTTTTATTTAAATTTTAATACATGAAGCTTATCATATTTTAAGTGACAATCCTTCCGTTTTAAACATGCAAAGAGAGTATTGCCCGTTATCATTTTATTTTTGATTTGCCCAAGATTGTCCCAAATTATCCCAATCATTGTATCAATATAACAGAAGCTAATGTCTATACTAACAAGAAATAAATATATATAATATATATAGTGTTATATAAGTAAAGTAATATGTGCATGTATCTTGTATGTTTGTTTGATAAAACAAAATGCAGCAAGTCTTAAAGATAATGTTCCATCAAACATTGATATATGATTATCTTCATCTAATCTAAGAAGTGGAATGACATAATTTCTTCAACAGAAGTGTTCGTATATAACAATACCTATATTCATCATTTGTCAATTCAAAAAGGTGCCCTAATCAACTAATATCACAGTGTTTTCCAATGATCATCATCTTGATATTATTCACAAAAATATTGTCTGAAATTATTTAATTTGTTAAATTTTGATTAATTTCAAAACAAACAAACAAACAAACTTTAATGCACATATTTCTCTACATACAGTTTTTTGACTGGATAAAATTATGTCACTGAATTATTATGACATTATACCACAATGTTTTATGCTTTCTTTTCCCTTATCTTGTTAAATATCTAAAATAGGCCCCTTTCAACCTAGATAAAAGCATTCATTTTTCAGGCAAAATTTAAAATATGTCTAACTGACCAAAATGTGAACAGCTGTTGACTTCTCATGATCAAATATTAGCAAGTCATGCTTCGTGGTAAATTTATTTAGTATTAAAATTTATACTTGTAATGCAGTATATTTTTTCAAAGTTTAATTATTATCTATGATTTGTTTATATACTAGACATTTATCATTATTTATAGGGTAGCACTAATCTAAACATGATCTATCTATATTTGAGGACTAGACTACATGGGGGCAGCACCTCCTTCTGACGATCTTCTATCTCCTTCCTAGTTTGGTAACCACGGAAACCAGCCTGGATACGCTCAGCTGCTTCTTGAATACTTTTATCTTGTATATCTATTGTATCTGATTTTTCACTTGTTTCTACTTTATCTTGAGCTGTGTCTTCAGTTTCAGTTGTATTTGGTTTATCAGCATCAGTTGTTTCTACTTTATCTGTGGTATCACCTTCATCAGTTTTGTCTGATTTAGACTGCATTTAAAAGCAACAAAGTAAGTAACCAAACAAAAGTCATGAAATTAAAGTTAATGCAACCACTTATAAGCTAAACTAGTAATACATATATATAATACATAATCATCACACAACCACACTTAACAATGATGTAACCGCATTATGTTGATATTATTACTGCTGGAATCTTTACAGATATGCCTTTTATCTTCTTTTATAATCTGTTACCTACATTTCTAAATGTACATACAGTGAAATGATTTCATTATGGGATAACTTGCATCATTAGATTAACAAAATACAAACTATAAAATACAAAGATGCAAAAAAAACACCACACTCTATAAAAGCTGCAAGTCAGATTGAGTTATATGAAACAAAGTTTGTTGTGAACCTCTCATCCATGTGCTCATCTAATTAACATACTCTTAAAATGTCAGCTATATATAGTATCCCCTGTGCTCCATCAGAACAAGTGTCTCTGAAACATTTTTGTAATATCCCAACACCCTGTGCACCCCTATTCACCATGTGCACTGTAGCTTTTAAATGTTCCTTTCAACAAATGTCCTCTACAACATCTTGTGACTCTCGTGCCCAGGTGATTTTCTATACCATTGTGTATTGCTAAATACTGATTCCTTGCTACCTTATTTCACAGTAATTCCTCAAACATGTGTGCTTCTTAACCCACCTTTTTACTTGTTTTACTCTTTTTATCTGTTTTCGCTCTATTTATGTAACCAGCAAAAGCTGCTGTCAGTTTTTCGGTAGCTTTGTCTGTGTCATTGGTTTTACTTTCCGACACAATTGACAGTTTATCTGAGGAAGATTCTCGTTTGCTGGAATAACTCGCTCCATCTCGCAACACTTTTTGCTGTCTTTTTTTACCACCATCAAATGCAGCTTTAATTCTAAGAGCAGCCTCAGCTTTCTCATCATCTAATTTATTTGATTTGACTTCCGTCATGTAAGTCACTTCACCCTGTGACTTTAAATATTACAATGATCTCGTATTATCTTATATATATACATATGTATGCACATGTATATGCTACTTCCATTTTTACTTTTAAGATGTATTATGACAGAATAATGGTAAAATCTTACTTATTTACCTGCATACTTTTAGATATATCTAAAGAAAGCATCACTCAAACAAATAGGACCTAACAGAAAATCTGTATTGTATATAAGTGAAATCTGATATATATTTTGCTAACATAACGCCATTTTGCTATGGTTGATTCAAGTCGGTACATAATACTAAGATGATTGATAAAGTCTTGTTTTAGTGAACTAATAATTTAGCTGTCATTTCAAATGTTGTTACGATCTTCCACTCAGTAACTCTCACTCAGTAAAGTTTTGACAGATGTCCTTTACTTGCTGAAAAAATAACATGTATTCTTCAGGTAAAAGTATGACTAAAATTAATCAATTACATACCTGGTCACCTGGCTTTTTTCCAAAGAAGGCAAAATCAAACATTTGACTGAGGTCGTAAAACATGCTCTCCGTGTCTCGATCTGCGTCAAGCTGTAAAATAATCAATGCTTCATGTTAGCAAATACATGTCAAGTAACAACACAAAAACAACATAAAGTGAACAAAGTGTACATCAAGTCCTGTAAAAATTTGTAAAATGAACTCTTTCACTTTAACTACTCAACATACTTTTTACACTTCTTTCATTTGTTTTTAAAACATTGGATTTTTTCCTCTCTTAGATTTTTTCTCTCTCTTTAGCTGTTATTTAATATGATAAATCTGTATATATCTAAATATCAAGTATTTTGAACATTTATTAGGTTACTTTTATTTTAACATTTTAAAGCATTCACACTAAAACATGCAGGACAGTACGTATCTTCATCAAATTAGCCGTGTCACGACAAAACCAACATAGTGCGTTTGCGACCAGCATGGATCCAGACCAGCCTGCGCATCCGATCAGTCTAATCAGGATCCATGCTGTTCGCTATCAGTTTCTCTACTTGTAATAGGGTTTGCAAACGAACAGCATGGATCCTGATCAGACTGCTCGGATGAGCAATTGCATTTTGTTGGTTTTGTCGTGACGCGGCTCAAATACTAACATAGAGAAGTGCTATACTGACAAAGCCCTAAAATATAAGCCAATAGTCTCATACCCAACACTACATCACCCTTTAAACTGTGCTGTTCTTAATATTGTATCCAATTAGAAAAAAAACGTCATCAAAAAGCAATTGCCTTTAAAATAATCTAAATTTGATTCAAATAATCTTACTTAAAATTCATTTATTAAAAAAAAGCTAAATTATTGATTAGTACTGAAAAGCGGACATCATATAAGAATAGAGATATTTTAAAACAAAATGAATTGGGTAATGGAAAATTTAACTATGTATCATGATAATACAAATTAATGGGAAATAACAATATATTTAATTTAATTTTTCATCAGAACACCATGCAAAATTTAACCCTTTACATCAGACATGAGGCTTAACTAATAAAAAGGACATAAACATAGTTGTCTTACATATTTAAGCAATTATGTTATTGGTTAATCTAATTTTACTAAATTAACTAGCATTATCAATGGTGTTATTATTTCGAATTTGATTCCAGATTGCAAACTGCAATACCTAAACTAAGAGACAAAATTTTTAAGAAAACAGCATTCATATCAATATTTAAGTTGCATATTAAATGAAATAATGGATTAAATTCAACTAACAACTGCACTGGTGTTGATAGATATTGTTCTACAAACACCAAATTAAACATATAGAGTAATTAGATAACAACACATGATCTCTATCAGACTACAAATAGCAATAGTTTGGTCCATACTACAGAGATATAAAGTTCGTTCACAGAGACATGACCTTGCAAGAAAATGATTTGTTTAAATGACAAGCTGTGTTGATTAGGTGCACAGAGTTACAACTAGCAAATTTTATTGCTGATGATTACAAGATATCACTAATTAGAATAGGCACAGAGAAACTAATTTTCATACAATTAATTGTATTATAATTGTGCTACTCATATTTAATAGAATTGTTTTATAACCTGTTTAAACTGTAAATGATCCTTAAATGAAGAATATAAGTTTCTCTACATGCTTGGAAGAAGAATAACAAAAAATGCTGTTTTTTCAAAAACAGGTCGAGGTAAAGGAGACTTTTGCAGAATTTGCAGAGAACATGACGAAAGTTCTTCAACAAAAATATCTAAGTATTTACATGAAGGTTTTCAGCTTCAGACTCCATACCTTACTTTTACTTGAATGAAAGCTCTAGAAATATAAGTCAGACTCCTTCAAGTGTCTAGAATCTGCACCAGTTCTGACTATCATTCTATTTGTATACCCCGTGCAGGACAATGCATTGCACTTTACAAGTTAACCAACCAAATATACTGTTGATAGAATTGAACACACAAAGTAATGGTAGAGCACTTAGAAGATGAAACTGCAGGCAAAGCAAACTCAAAATATCAGACAGTTTTAGAAATTAGAGAAGATGTTAAGAATACAGTAACAAATCTTTCAAACATTTGTTGGTGTTTTATCCCTTAAACTGCTGAAACTGAATTAACACCATGAAGTCTGACAAGACTCTGTACTATTGGTAGCACAATTTTTGTATTTTGATATTGAAATCCTTATCCAGAGCTGGGCAAATCCAATATACAATTTCAACAGCTTTAAGGATGAAATTCAATCTGAATAACCATTGACCACCAATGATAAGAGAACATGGTACACAAAACAACAGAAAAAAACCCAGATTGAAACATAAAATATAGAACAGTAGCATATTAGTCTGTAGCATCTATGCGAACATTACACGCAACAATATAAAACTGAACAATAAGCAGAAATATAAAGCAAACATGCAAGTAAAACAGATGAAAATCTCCTCTAAATCACCAGAGGCTTACAGTTAACATATGCTACAAAGCAAAGATACGTACATCTGCAATGTTTCTCTGTAAATTTATATTAGAAAATGCTTTTATAAAAATGCTTGAACTTTACTCTTTTTTTATTTCAAAGTTATATACCAACATTAATTAGAGTCTAGTCACCAAACACTTTACTTAGCATCAATAAAAAGAATAATATAAAAAAAAACTTTTTCTTTTATAACTGTCATACCCAAGGCAATAATTTTTTTACACAAATTTCAGAATATAATACTAAAAGATGATGATATCTATTATGCTGCATACAGATCTGACAAGATCTGATATTGGCAGTCAAAATAAATAATTATCTTAAACTGTTGAAATATTCATAAATAGGGTTTGCGTGAAGTAAAATAGCGGTCCATAGTGAAATTATTTGTACAACATGTTGATGTAACAAATAACTGCTTATACATGACCACTATTGTATTATGGGTTTAAGTTGCTGAACAATTTCATAAAGACAATTTTTCTCTAGTTAGATTATACATGCACTTTCAAGACTCATACTTTATATACAGAAATATTTGAATATTGACTAGCAACAAACAATTACCAATCAATAAATAAACAAATCAAATCACTGATTTTTTACAGTTCACAAAATTACAAGGAGAGAGCATTGGGCAGGGAATTTAACATATTAAAATGTTTCATCAACAAAACAGTTCACAATAACAGATACATACCACAACTAATTTTCCTTGGTCATCAAAATACTTCATTACAGGTAAAGTATTATATTTGTAGAACTTGAGTCTATTAGCTATAGCAGTTGGATTATCATCTACCCTGCCACTTTCACGACCACGTTTCAATAATCGTGTCTGCATGTAGTATTCCTCGCAGTCAAATAATATCACAAAATTTAGACCACCAATCTGTAATTAACAAAAAACTCCCAATAAAAATTTGACCCTTTATTTAGTCATTGACTCTTTAAAGTCTGTAACTTTCAATATTATATTACATGTGTTGTTACAAACATGTAAACAAAGCAGTTATAAGATTTTATACCATCACTTATAAATTAGTAACAAATTAATTTCATCAAATCAATCACTTAAATCATAACCCAATCCTTCATAAAGTTTGATATTTGTCAAATTGTGCATGAAGTAAGGGATATCAAATTCAAGATGGCAGTGATTAAGTTCACTGATGTAATGATTCTAAAATCAATAGTAATTTTCTACCCATGTTATGAAGTTTGACGGAGATTTCAAATGTGAGTTAATGGACGTAAATGGTAAAATGGTCTACCTCCTAACAAAACAATCAACATTTACAAACTTCACATAGCTCACTTTCATAGTGGATCCTCTTTATAATATAGCAGTCATGTCAAACCACTTTATATTTCAAATATAACACATTTAAGGATCAAATCAAATTTTCATTTCTATTGTTGTGATCTATTTTTGATAGCTATACAAAGTAAAAATATACTTCAAATGGCAATGGAATATTGGCATGTTTCCAATAATTATTAAGTATAAAAAGACAGGAAGTGTCATTTCCTACAAAGTCTGGAATTAGCAATATGACTAACATGACCACCGAATCAAAATAATGTTAAAATTAGTAGAACTAAATACTTACATTTTTATTAAAGGCCTCAACCTGAGCTTTATCCCTGGGAAAACCTTCTATGATAAAAGCTTTTGCTGAACTGTTCTTCTTTAACTGTTCTTTTAATAAATCTATAGTTACTTCCTGAAATGTAAAGATGGACATCTTGAATTAGTTCATTTGAGGATACATCATCTTCAAGTTTACTGTTAACATCTTCAATTGAACATTATAAAGTAATATACAAGGAAGAAATTAGAATGATTGATCTATTCCAAGAATATGTACAGCCGTCATAATTAAAACATTATACAATATATACAATCAAATCTATAACTTTTATTCTATCACTTGTGCAAAGCATAGATTTTATATTTGTTTTGCCTGAACGCCTTAAAGTTTTATTTCTGTCGTCATAGAAAAGACGACTTTATTTTTAGAAAAGGTAAATATATTTGAGTTAAACAAAATGACAAGAAACTGTAAGACTAGAAAATTGTGTAATAAAATTTCAAAGGATGACAGAAAGGTGGACACAAACATGTCATATCACTTGTGCAAAGCTTATTTTATACATACATATGTATAAAGAAATGTAAAAGAAGTCAAGTACACACTATCTTATACTACACTTCATTTATACGATATACCAAACATTTTGTTAAATGTTAGTTAACATAAGGAATTAAAAGACTAGTACCTCAGGTGCCATTTCTCCCTTTGATACAAGTTGTGAGATCATGCCCCATTTGTCATCTGCTGTACCTTTTGTTGATATTTCATCTCTTAGAATGTCACCCATTGATAAATGAACAAAACCGGGATATCTTTGAACAATTTTTTGACATTGAGTGCCTTTACCACTTCCAGGGCCACCTATAATATTAGAAAAGAAACTTCTATGATGTTCTCAATACAGATTATATGTGTTATATATTATGTCTCATTGCATAACAAATTTCTTTAAAACAAAAAACTTGCAGAAAACTTGTCAATTTTCATTCAATATGATTATCAAAGATTGCACAGCTAACTGTCTCTGAACAAAATGACAATTTTCAACAAAAGTTACTTTATCAATATAAATCAGTTTGAAAATTTTATGTTTATTTGGCTTCAAACCTTTGTTAATCCTTAAAAATCTTTAATGAACACCTTTAAAATAAAACAAATAAAAAAATGAACATAAACAACGTAATTCAGTGTGAAGCAATCAACAATATAGTGAAATGTACTAAGAATTTCACAAATGTTTACCTGCAACAAAGATGATTGGACATGTTGGTAGGTCTGGTTTCCTGCCTGTATCAGCCTCTGAGATGACTGGAGGTAAGGGAACCGGCCCATCAAACATTTCCTTAACTTCCTCTTCTACAAAACTCTCCTCTTTTTCATATTTCTTCTTGTATGTTGCTGGTTCAGGAATATTAGAGCCAGCTGATGATGGTGGGGCCCCTTCTGAACAATATAGTAACAATATACCTTTAATATGTTTTATCTCCAATAAAAAAAAGAAATTCTAAAATATTATGTTGAAAAATCACATCACAGATACAGATGACATCATATCCTGTAATGTTCTACTTGTACACCAGAATTCCGGTTCTATAACTTCACCTTAGATATTGAGAAATAAGCAAGGCATCTGTTCTTATGACAACCTTTTAGTTTTATTGTTGGGTGACCCTCTGTGCATTATTTAAAGCATGAGTGGGCATCTGAGTAGAACCACCGAGCTTCTGTAAAGTAGCTGGGTAACTTCTCAAATGAAGCACTTGGATGTTCTAGCCAGATTTGAGCCCATAGTGGTGCAGGAAAAGTGGTTTTAAGGCAATGAACCTAACCACTATGCCAGAGACGACTCTGTTATGATATTTTAAATAGTTTTTGAATTTTTACATTTGTCATTCCAAACTTTACCAATATCATTGTACGTCATTCATATAGTTGTAAATGTTTAGTCACTACAACTATAAAGAAATGTTGTTTCTACTTTAAACATAACTTACCTTGTTTATGTGAGCCATACTGTTGAAAGAACATTTTATCAAATGCTACACCAAGTTTGCTCTGAACCAAGTCTTCATTACCATCTCCCTCAACTATAACAAGTTTACCCTGGTCATCATAAAACTTAGCTGATGGTAGAGAATTTGCTGAAATATAACAAATAAATAATATATAACACTGGTATTATACATCAATTTGCCTTGTATCAGCTTCCGAAAGAATGATAAATTTGATTTTGGTACTTGAATTGTAGAGACCTTAAGTAAATGATAAAGTGATTTAGTTTCTACACTGTGGGGCTAGTCCCTTCTATCCCCGATTTGTGCAGTATATACCTAAAGCACAAGGCCACAATTCTCTTTAATCTAAATCATATTAATTTGAAAATTTGAATAATGTTGTGTATCAGAATGTATAATAATACCTTTGAAAAAGTTCATTTTTGTTGTGACAGCTGACATTGAATGTTCTGGTTTATTGGAGGTACGTCCCTTGCGTAGCAATTTGTCCATAGCTTTAGCCTCATCACAATCTATCATGAACACAACGTCCAGTCTTGATACCTGTATATCATAAAATACCCATAAAGCCATCCTATACATTATGACATTCAACAGTCATATTAACCTCTACCCCACTAAATTTGCATAATTCACTTGTCTTGCTTTTACTTTGTAACTAACTATTATTTAGATATTTCAGTGCTTGATCAGCCGACAATATACAATCACAAATGTTCTACAGAATTGAACTACATGTAGTTGATAATTACAAAATGAAGTTTTGACCAAGAATATCTTAATCTTTTTCTTTTTCCAATTGTTTGTTCTTTAAAACAAAATATATTTAGAACAATGCAATAAATTGTGATAAAGATATCGAGTTAAAATAATTGTTATATTATTTTAAACACCATTTTCAGGGGCGGCAAAATCAATTGTTCGTATTACCCAGGTTGTCACACAGCATGTACGGACAAGTGGAATTTTCAAGAATTTACTATATAAATATCATTCTGACAAGTTAAAAAATTCTAAGATATAAATGGACAAGTAAGACAAAATAAGATTTGGCGGCCCTCATTTTATAAAAAAAAACTGTACAGTTAAATGGTCATAAATACCTAAACGGATCCAAGTAGATAAATTTTAGTTAGAATTAAATACGCAATCAACCAGTAGAGAATAACTTACAAATTTAGCATAATCACCAACTTGCTCCATGTTTCTTGGATAACCTGTTATAATGAATCCTTTAGCTGATGATGATTTCTTTATACCTTCCAACAGACAGTCTATTGTTACATCCTGAAAATACATTCACCAATAACATAAATAAAAATATTTCAAGTAAAATATTGTCAACAGATTCATCTTGACATGAGCATGTAGGCATAGCAAACCTAATTACACTGTTATGAATGCAGCTTCTTTTACAGATAACTTTGCAAATAAAAGACGTAATTGTGTTTTAATGATTTTAGCTTTTTTACTGATGTTTCATAAATTATAGGTATGAGCATATATTTTTCACCACTGACTGTTTATGTTGGAATAATATTTCAGCAGACATACAAAATATATGTCACTTCTAACATCATCAAATCATTTTACTACATTACAAATTAGACAAAGACAGTAGCTCTCATTAGTTACAGGTGAGAAAGATTTTTTTTTATAATTATTTTTTACATTTAGCAAAACGATTTATATCATTTCAATGCTGCCAGGTGTATATAGATTACAACCAGTACCATTACAAGATAGAGTAAAAATAACAAAGATAATCTACGGTACCTCTGGAGCCGGTTCCCCTTTGCTGATCAGATCATGGGTTAGTTTCCATTTGGTGTGAGCCTCACCACGGCGTTGTATCTCCTCCTTGATCAACTTGCCTACACTGAGATGACACCAACCTGGGTATCGCTTTAATAACCTTTCAACCTGACCCTCCTTACCTGAACCAGGTGGTCCTAAAATAAACAAAATCTTTTTTATATATCTTTGTAAAATTGTATCCCATAAGGCCTAAACCTGTTGAATTTGTCTGTTTTCAGTTTGAGACACTCCATTTAATATAAAGGAAGTTCAATATTGAAATGCAAAAACCAAGCTATCAACCATATAGGTGATAAAGGTTATGCACTTGATGGTTGTTACTAAGATATGTTGCTTTTAAGAGGTCTTAGCTTTACTTCTGGTGAAATTATAATATAGTTGCAAAGAGGTAATCTAAGACTACAGAGAGCCGCTCTGCAGAGATTACACTGTAGTGCTTTTATATGAGAATCAGAAAATGTTTTTCCCCTTTTTAATATACATGTATTCTTATAATTTGTATACATTAATACAATATAATAACAAATACTTATTTACAAGATAATATGAAAATAATGTATACCAATGTTTTCTATGAAAATGTAAATATTACCAACCCATAACTATAACAACTGGCACATTAGGTGTGGTGATCTTTTCTGGTGCTTTAGATGACGTAGGGATGGCTGGAAGAGGGGATGACGTCTTCTCTCTTGGTGTCTTCTCCTCTGAAATATATAACAACATGTTTTATAATAAATACAGCATAACTATCTTTAGTTCAATTCATTAACTTTTGAAATGAATTTATTAATACAGATTCCACTACATGTATTATTCTGTAGTCTGTTACATCACAAGTGTCACTGTGTTCAAGCAAATGATTTCAAACTAAAAGCAAGGCAATTGTAAGAAATTTAACTTATTAATAATCTAAATAACTGTTTATAGGAAACACATATACAAGTAATAATCAGCACCAAGAACTCAACATACCATTATTTTGTTTTACATGTTTGGTATAAAATATATTTGAGGAATTCTGGTCACTTTTACACACAAAAAAACAACAGCAAATGTTTCAGATAAGATAAACCTCTTATCAATGCATTATGTTCTTAAAAATAAACCTTAAAATGTATAAATGATATTGTATCACATTCAAGATTGCAAATTTTACCTTATACAATTTTGATTTTCAGAAACTTGTTCAACAAATGGTCATTCTGTATTCAACACTGCTTTAATCTTAAATAATTTAACATACATTATCATTGTAGTGAAAAACTATTGAATAAAAACTGAAAATGATGTAAATGATTCTAACAATTCAAAACTGACAGTAGATAATTGCTGTTGACATAAACCTATAAAAGGAGAATCATACAGGGTAAACATAAACTTTTATAAACAAAGTAAACAAAAAATGTTCAAAACCAACTACATCTATGAATAGAAAGCATAGGGATTACTTGAAGCTAAACATATAGAAATCTTGCCACATTGTCCCATTGTTTAGATAAATATTTTTTCATTTTCTAAATTTTACTGTAAACATAAATGCAACTACATGTAATATAGTATGACTTTAACCAAGAGATATTTTCTATATTTAATATAAGCAATATTTCTACATCAATATTCAACTAATGAAACCAAAGACATGAATTCTACCTCAGTTCAACCGTTTTCAGTGAGTAAATAAAAATAAATCACAACAGTGACAATATTCCAAACATAGCAAGTGCACAGGTATATAATGATGCAGATACTAGTAAGATTCACAGGGGGACGGGAATGAGAGAAGCCCCTGTGGTAAGATTGATGGATGATGTTGAAAGCATGGTCCTTCAAATACAAGCTGGGATAACATAATCGCTGAATCTCTATAAATACAACAATGTGGTCACAACACTGTAAACAAACCTTTGTCAGTAAATGAGTTTTCTCTAGATGAAATCTGTCGATGTTTATTTTGAGCTACAGCAGGTGATCTCCCCTGTGTAGTGCCATTATTAATAGGGGAGATCACTCTTTCATGAGCAATAACTTTGTTGATAAGTGAATCCTGAATGTTACCCATATCCAATGTTAGTATTTCCTCATCTACATGTAGTATCAGTTAGCGATAAAAATAGCAAATGATGTTGTTAATATATGAATGATTCTAGTTAAGCCTCTATTAACAAATATGGATGCATTACCTAACATTATTTTATAGCCAGTAAATTTAAAGATATGACAAAATAAGACATTATTATCAACTAATAAGTCAATTTTGTTCTTAGAAACTGACTTATGGTTGAGATTACAGAACTTAAAAAGATCTCTGTTTTTAATTCATATTTTTTTTAATGTGGATAAATGGTAAATTACCGATAATCATATTTGATCATCAATTCATTAATTTTTGTTGAAGGTTTGAAATTGCCAGCCAAAATTCTTTAGCATACAAATCCATTCTCACAGTTGTTTGAATATCATGCCTAAAATGTCCTTAAGTAAGAAATTTAAATAAACAAAAAAAACTTAAAGCTTATAATCTCAAAAGTGCTTGAAAGCCCAAATAATATTTTCAGTGAAAAGTTTTAAAACTGTTGATATAATTTGAAATTGTTTATTAGTAACCGACATTTATTTTTTATATACATAATGTCAATAAACAAGAGCTGTCCGTAAGACAGCACGCTCGACTTTTTTATTGCTTGCCAATAAAAAAAGTTTTTGCAGTAAAAGGCAATACAAGAATCTCTGTATTTTTAAAGTGAACAATGGCCATGAGCATTAAGATATTTAGTGAAGAATTATTTTACTGAATTGTGTGATACCCTTGAACACTGCAGCAAAGTTTGAAATGTTTAAGTCAAAAGAGGGCTGGTAAGAAAGAAAAAAAAACTAGTTGTTTGATACCCTTGAATATTACAGCAATGTTTATATGACATAATTTATGGTAAAGTGAACAAGTGGATAGGAATGAATTTTTTTAGATTTTTTAAGTTTTTTAGTGCTTGCCTATAATACAAAACATTGACAGTTAAGGGCCATAATTCAAATAAAATCTTTGACAGAATTACCTTCTCCTGGACATGTTTGGGAATCATGATTGTAAACAAGTATTCCAACTTTCAAATTAATATCTCAAACAGTTCAGTCAAAAAGTGGACTGGTACTAAAAACTTAACCAAGATTCTAAGTCGATAAAAAGGCCTTAATTTTTAAAACAAATCCTTGACAGAGTTACCTTCTCTTGCGTACAGATGGGGGTAATGATGTGAAATAGCATTAAAAGTTTCAAAGCAATATCTCAAAGGGTTAAGGCAATAAGTGGATTTTACCCATATTCAATGTATTTTCTAAGTCAAAAAGGGGCATAATTCTGTCAAAAACCTTGACAGAGTTATGTCCTCTTGTCTGTTGATGAAGGTCGTGATGGTAAACAAGTATGGTCAGTTTCAAAGCAATACCTCCAATGGTTTTGAAATAAAGTGGGGTGGTACAAAAAACTTAACCAAGCTCAATACACTTTCTAAGTCAAAAAAGGGCCATAATTCTGTCAAAAACCTTGACAGAGTTATGTACTCTTGTCTGTAGATGGAGGTTATGATGGTGAACAAGTATGGTAAGTTTCAAAGCCATACTTGTAATACTTCTGAAATAAAGTGGGGTGGTACGAAAAACTAAACCAAGGTGTGACGCCGACGCCGACGCCGACGCCGGGGCGAGTAGGATAGCTCCCCTTTTCATAGAAAAGTCGAGCTAATATACGATACTGAACACTGAAAAACCAAAGTAATATTAAATTAATCCAAACTAAAGCAAGATTTAGTGAATCCAACGGTAACAAAATTTTTGCCAACCTTTACACAATTGTTTAAACACAAAAAATACAGCCTGTGACTTTCAACTGACTGTTTAAAGCAATATTGAGTTATCATAGAAACACTAAAATTATTTCATTTAAAAGTGTAACAGTAAACATTGCCTAACTGAACAGAATAAAGATATGTTTTAAGTGTGTAAACGTGGCAGTATTATCTGTTAAAGTGAAATGTGTAAGTATGTTGTGATCACTATCACACCATCACTTAAATGTTCACATTAGTATAAAAACCTCAACTCTCACTTTAAGAATAAGAAGTGTTTTCAACAAATTTGATGAGTTTTAAATCACATCACTCCCAAGTACCTTCAATAGCTCTAGTAAAAGTTGTTATTCTTACAAAAGGACCTTCACCTAGGATAAATCAAAGTTTATCCATTTGCTATAGTCCAGAAACAAATCACACAAAAGTGCAACAATATCATAGATTCTGAAGGCAGATTCTGTACATTGTGAAACTTAAATAATAAGTTTTATATGAAAAGAGGAAATTATGTTGATGTTGTTTCATTGCAAGCCAACCTACTTCAGGTTCTATTTTGTTATTCGTTAATTTGTAATAATAACACATGGTAAAATCTTAATCACACAACAGATATCAGTATGCCATCATGATCAACCAGTAGCTTGTATAAAATTTAACAAGTTCTCATTACTTTCTTCAAATGTTTTATGTTTGTATATTTTCATCAGCTTTCATTTATTTTAATTGAACAACACCAATGAATATATCTAATACAAGCGTAAGGTCTTTGTTTATATTTATTCTGAAAGCTTATTTTTGTTGCATCTGGTCATATCTAAGTGTTGTTGATCTTTATTAGACATTGGGGATTTATGATCAACATAAAATCAACTTCTGTTTTACTTCAGATTTTGATATAAAATAATAAGAATTCATTGATGCACTTTTAGTCAAAAGTAACTTTAACTAATAAAATCCAATGTTAAATAATTCAGTTTTCAGCTAAATTACTATGTTAACTTCAAATTGGTAAGCATAAACTATTAATGTCTAAAAGTCAATACTTTACTAGAAGTTTTTTTATGATCTATTTTATTACCTTTTGGTGTTCTTGTTCTGGATGTAGGTCTTGAACCTCCCTTGGATGTTGGTCTAGCTGTCCCATTTGAAATTGGAGGAAGAGGGGTCTTTGTGCGACGCATATCAACAAAAGAACTCCATGATATTGTATCTTGACCTTTTTCATGTACTTTCTGAAGGCACTCTATCAAGTATTTGATGTGATCCTGAGGTCTGTGATACATTAATCCTGTCATCAGACTCTACAAACACATTAAAATACCATGGGAATTTAGTATTGAAATAAAGTTAAACATTTTATTCAACACATATCACATAAAGTCATATTACATATATTGCAGATACATTGTATTTTAATGGAATTTTCACATAATCTGACTCCCTAAGAGTGTTTTATATAAATTTTTGTATGATACCTTCCCTTGACTTATCTTGGCTTATTTCCTTTCCACAACTCTTTATACTCCTTATTAAACCAGAGACACAAAATGTCTACATATTTACAAAACTCTTTTGACAAACATGAAAGAAAGGTTGTTGTAATCTGATTATTACAGACAGTTAAGAAATAAAGAAAAGTATTATTGTGGGATGCCGAGTTTCAATGGCTGCTTGGTTTCAGAGACTTAGAAAAATTACTGTCATTGTATATAGTATGTTTCAAAGACTTTATTGTAATGACACTATTTATATATACAAAACATCTTATTGCAGCTTGAACAGAAAATATTAGGTGTGTAACAGCATAACGATTCCCCTGGATATGACAGTGGCCTTTTAAGCATTTTCTTATCACTTTTTAACATATAAAATTATAAATGATCTAGTTCACTGAACAAAATTTAAACTAGAAAGAACTTTTTTGTTTTTCTTTTTCTGTCCACCTGTTTTCTACAAATGGAATATGAAACTTTCCTTGAAAATGAGGTTGAAATAGTGACATATTGTCCTAAATAGGCCTTCATTGAAAGACTTCGCATTTTCTTTTTTCACTCTTTTACGTTAATCAGAAAATGTGATTTGACCAATGTAAAATATAGCTTCAAATCCTCAGTTTACAATAAATATTAAGACTTATATTGTCCTTAGACAAAAATTGTCACCAAGTTGGCAACCTTGAAAATGAGGAGTAGATCTACATTTCTTCAATTAAACATTTATAATTGTTGGATAACTTCAAGTTCTGTGAAACCACAGTAAGTGAACAGAATACCAACAGATATGTAAGGAACACATACTCACTCATTGTTAGAAGTTAGATAGGGGTCACTGAAATTGGGACTCACATGTAGTATCTGTGAATTTAAATCATGTTAAATAAGAGTAGATTTGATACTAATTAATTAAGTAAATGCATCTTGTGAGTATTTTATCTCACAATCACATAGAATAGCTTATTTAACTAGAATCACAGGAAAAATAGGTGTTCTTAAATACTTTTTTAATTATTATGGTAGAACTATTCTTAGACTTAGGGTCATTGAAACTGGTGTTAGCACATTTTTATATAAGGTTGACACTAAAATGAAAATTTATTTACCTCGAACAAGCGTGGGATATCACGCCTTGACAGGTAGGTTTTCGCATCTTCTGTCGTCATCTTGCCACTACGGCATCGGATGTACGTTGGATCTTTGTGAGAAATTTTGCTGGTTAGCTAAAAACAACTGCAGAAAATTGTGCACCTTTCAATTGGTCTGTAGTTAAGGACAACAAACATGCGGATTCTCTTCCGGTTTTCTGCTAAAAAAAGTAGTTCCTCATTTCACAGCAATTTCATTCATTACACGCTATTATATCTTACAAAATATATGAATTTCCATTTAAATACATAATAAAATACATAATCAAATTTTTCTTATGACATACAAAAGAACAAAACAAAATAATTAATGTTTTATACGCCGCTCTGCGAAACTATTTTCAAAATGGCCGCGCCCATGGTTCATGAAAAAAAATCGGCAAATTCTCGTTTTTGTATAGTTTGTCTTGGGTTTCTTTGGTGTTTTGTCTCTTGTGCAAATGTAAATACATTTATTCCTTTTTCTTAGCGAAATATGTGTACATTTATAGTCTGTATTAGAGAGTTCAGTTCTCATCGGGCACCTGTTTTAATGTAAATTTGGTGGGAGGGGTAATGTAATTAGCCGGTAAAATTACTAGTTCTACATCATACCGCTAAAATCATTTACGATCACTCTAAGCAGGTTTACATTGTATACATTTTTAAGAGACAGCAATGAGATAAAAGGGAATCCGGGAACCAGTCTCTAGCTCTTATTGAATAGACCCCTTGGTTCATTTACATGTACAGTGTATAGCACTGATACATGGGAGGATTACCAGGATTTCTTACCAGTACACCTCTTAGTAGGTTTGAAACACTGAAAGTGTCTCTGAAAAATCTTAAGGTTATAACCAAGTATCGAACCCAGGACCTTAGTACTCGGAGATAGATAGATATAATCAGTTGTCTATCCAACTTAGCTATCGCGCCACCACGTGATATTGTAACAAACATATCAAGAAAACAAATGTAAACAGACTTATGGCAATGCAAATAGGACAAAATAATCCATCAAATGCAATATCGTGTGATAACAAATCATGGAAATGTCAAGGCCCCAAGTCTTACAATTTGTCAATACACTACTAACAGTAACAGCAGCTACACTTACAAATTATGTACATGCCAATGATGGGTAATCATCCTAACATAAATTCCTGATTAAGACAGCAAAACCATATCACTGCCATGTTTCTTATAAGTTAACAGTTACAGTGTCACTGTGATCATAGCCAGCCCGCATAACTCAATTGGTTAGATCACGAGACTTGTAATCTCAACATTGTGGGTTTTATTCCCGGGCTGGCCAACTAAAATTACTAATAATTCTTTCAGGGTCTTTGACTTCCCCGTATAAATAAACTCAAATACACACACACCCTCTGATAATTATGGCGGCATGGCAGAGTGGTTAGCGCATCAGACTAGTCATGTTTAATAATGATTGCTAGCTGCATGGGTTCTAAACCTGTCAGGGGCAAGTACTTAGTTATTTCCTTGAGCGAGAAACTACACTCATTTCTCAGTATTGGTTTGTTCTAGGAACAGATTAAAAAGTGTGTACATAAGCTTATAGCTTCCTACACAATCAAATTAAAATAAATTCTGTATAAATCAAGAGGAAATTTAATGTCAAATCTATTTTGAAAATTCAGGATGTACTTTTTGTAACTTTTTCATAATTGAACAACTCTTAAATAAACAGTTAAAACTGCATCACTCATCACTGCTAGCTTTAGACCAAGCATATTTTTGCTACAAATAACAATAAATATTGATATTTGAATCTGGAGATATAAGAGCAGGCAAATATCAGATTTTCTTTAAGAGTTCACAAATCCACAAGAATTTGGTGGTTTGGTATACAGTCCTACATAACTGTATGACTATGATAAAAATGTTGCAGTAGTAACAATTTATTTCTATTTCATTTGATAATTTTCATAAAAAAACTTCTAAAGCAAGTTCATTTTTAGATGTCATGATTTAGAACTGTTCACTTACTAAAGGGGGGAGAAAACATTTTGACGAAACATCCATTTCTCTTTTAGGAAGGCTTATTATATCAAGTACATAATAATGAATTGTGTTTTATTTCTTGTGTAACAATGTTGTACTATATTTTGATAGGGAGTAGAAGTAGAGGATTTTTTTACAAGTGACCATACCAACAACTGGGCTGTACTGGTGGATACTTCAAGGTTCTGGTTCAACTATAGACATGTTGCTAATGTGCTCTCTATTTATAGAAGTGTTAAACGCTTAGGAATTCCTGACAGGTATGATAAAAGTGTTACAAATTATTTATTAATGAGATATTGCATGAAAATAGGCATGTCTGAACTGAATACAAAGCTGACATCCATGTTTGACAAAGAATATTTTCTATTTAATATGAATAATTGAGATAAAAAGAATTTTAAGAAGTCTTTAACCAGTGAAATGAAAATAATTTTATTTTTGTACCTTGTTTAAGAGGCAGAAATTCAGATGAAATAAACAAATGTTATGTTTTTAAATTGTAAATTAATCTGTATGCTCTTTTATTTCATTAAATAGTTTAGTTGTACAGTTTTCTATTATGATAAACTTTTCACATATTTCATTTATAATTGACCATTGTTTGCTTCAGTACTGAACAGAATAATTACGTTTAATATTATGGCTACAGTGCGTCTTTTTTTCTATCATTGTAAAAGTGTAAAATTGTTTAAAAGAAAACACTATTTGTATTAATTTCATAGTCACATAATTCTGATGGTCGCGGATGATATGGCATGTAATCCACGCAACCCAAGACCAGGTAATATACTTCAGTCACTTACTCTAGTCAACACACAAGAGAACTGGAATCTGTAAAAAATAAAATTGATAGAATTCATCAGGTTGATGGTTAGAGTTAATTTCAGAAAAGCCAGTTATATCTAGTATTTTTTTTATATTGTAAGCAATTTCATAAAAAAAGTATCTAGGACTGTAAATTCAATCCCAATATGACTAACATCAGTTCCTAAATAATGCTGCACTGTATATATAAGACCTGAACTAAAGTCACATTGATAAATTTAACTTGCACCTGCAAAATAATTTTAATATGTGAAATAAAATCTGAGATTGTAATTTCAAATCCCACCTCTCAACAATATCTCAAGTCTCAACTTATCTAATGAGAGCATAAAAAGTCAAGCTAGTAACAAAAACTTTCTGTTGGACTTAAGACTGAATTTAGAATTCTACAACAGACTGCTGTCCCAAGTTGCAACTTTCTAATATTTTGTTTCAGCAACTGTGTTCAACAATGCAAATGAACAAATTAATGTTTATGGAGATGATGTAGAGGTTGATTATAGAGGTTATGAGGTGAGCATATTTTAACAGAAAATAGGTTAATGTATAGAGGTTAATTATAGAGATTATAGTTTATCAAATTTGGTTTGTTTGTAGAGGTTGATTATAGAGGTTATGAGGTAAGTATATTTTAACAGAAAATAGGTTAATGGGTAGGGGTTAATTATAGAGATTATAGTTTATCAAATTTGGTTTGTTTGTAGAGGTTGATTATAGAGGTTATGAGGTGAGTATATTCTAACAGAAAATAGGTTAATGTGTAGAGGTTAATTATAGAGATTATAGTTTATCAAATTTGGTTTGTTTGTTGAGGTTGATTATAGAGGTTATGAGGTGAGTATATTTTAACAGAAAATAGGTTAATGTGTAGGGGTTAATTATAGAGATTATAGTTTATCAAATTTGGTTTGTTTGTAGAGGTTGATTATAGAGGTTATGAGGCGAGTATATTTTAACAGAAAATAGGTTAATGTGTAGAGGTCAATTATAGAGATTATAGTTTATCAAATTTGGTTTGTTTGTTGAGGTTGATTATAGAGGTTATGAGGTGAGTATATTTTAACAGAAAATAGGTTAATGTGTAGAGGTTAATTATAGAGATTATAGTTTATCAAATTTGGTTTGTTTGTAGAGGTTGATTATAGAGGTTATGAGGTGAGTATATTTTAACAGAAAATAGGTTAATGTGTAGAGGTCAATTATAGAGATTATAGTTTATCAAATTTGGTTTGTTTGTAGAGGTTGATTATAGAGGTTATGAGGTGAGTATATTTTAACAGAAAATAGGTCAATGTGTAGAGGTCAATTATAGAGATTATAGTTTATCAAATTTGGTTTGTTTGTAGAGGTTGATTATAGAGGTTATGAGGTGAGTATATTTTAACAGAAAATAGGTTAATGTGTAGAGGTCAATTATAGAGATTATAGTTTATCAAATTTGGTTTGTTTGTTGAGGTTGATTATAGAGGTTATGAGGTGAGTATATTTTAACAGAAAATAGGTTAATGTGTAGAGGTCAATTATAGAGATTATAGTTTATCAAATTTGGTTGGTTTGTTGAGGTTGATTATAGAGGTTATGAGGTGAGCATATTTTAACAGAAAATAGGTTAATGTGTAGAGGTCAATTATGGAGATTATAGTTTATCAAATTTGTTTGTTTGTAGAGGTTGATTATAGAGGTTATGAGGCGAGTATATTTTAACAGAAAATAGGTTAATGTGTAGAGGTCAATTATGGAGGTTATAGTTTATCAAATTTGGTTTGTTTGTAGAGGTTGATTATAGAGGTTATGAGGCGAGTATATTTTAACAGAAAATAGGTTAATGTGTAGAGGTCAATTATGGAGGTTATAGTTTATCAATTTTGGTTTGTTTGTAGAGGTTGATTATAGAGGTTATGAGGCGAGTATATTTTAACAGAAAATAGGTTAATGTGTAGAGGTCAATTATGGAGGTTATAGTTTATCAAATTTGTTTGTTTGTAGAGGTTGTGAGCCAGGTATATTTGCAAATACAGTGTTTGTTTTGATTGTATATGTGACAATTTTAGTATATTTGCTATATAAGTTTGTTGTGTACAGGAAATCAGAAATATATGGTTAGTACTCAAGTTAGTATATTTGCAAGGTTATAGACATAATATAGTTAATAAACAGAATTGGAGGCTAGATCATTTCATCATAAACATTTGATTTTAAACAGTTTGCATACTAATAAACTTTATAAAGTGAAAAACACATGTAAAAATAATAGAATTAAATCTTTGTTTAGATTTCTATGTTAAGATTTTGCTACATTAATTGGTAATTGTTGTTATATAGGTGACTGTGGAGAACTTTATACGTGTGTTGACAGGTAGATTACCACCAAGTACACCTAGATCTAAGAGATTGCTGACAGATGAACACAGCAATGTTCTTGTTTACATGACAGGTAATACACTGTCATATTCATGGTATTTTCATGTACTGGGGGATTCTCAAACAGCTTGGCACAAGTGTCAATTTTAATGCAGAGATGTGTTGTTGACAAAAACTTGAATCATTGCTCCAACATCATAGTCATACTAAGTCAACAAAGATTAAAGACAAGAGAGTACTCCTGCTTGTTTGTGGGCACAAATTAGCTCAAAGTTTTAGCATGATAAGACATTGGGATTTGTGAATGATATATGTAGCTTAAATGGCAAACTTAAGGGTTATATTACCAATACTGGTCTAAGGCAGATTGTCCAGACCTTAACTGGGTTTTTATGCCCCCGTCATATAATGGCAGGGGCATATAGTGTTACCCTGTTTCGTCATTCCGTCCTTCCGTCATCATCAGTTTCCGCTCATTATCTTATATATCCGTTGCACATATTGAACTCAAATTTGACATATAGATATGTCACGAGAAAATACAGGTCAAGTTCGAAAATGGTCATAGTTCGATGATTTTTGGCAGAGTTATGCCCCTTTTACTTTGAAAATAATATGAAATTTTCAGTTTCCGTTCATTATCTCCCCCACGGTACAACACATTCAACTCAAACTTGACATATAGATATGTCATGAGAAAATACAGGTCAAGTTCAAATTTGGTCATGGTTCGATGATTTATGGCAGAGTTATGCCCCTTTTACTTTGAAAATAATATGAAATTTTCAGTTTCCGTTCATTAACTCCCCAATGGTACAACACATTCAACTCAAACTTGACATATGGATACGTCAAAGGAATGCGCAGATCAAGTTCAAATTTGGTCATGGTTCGATGATTTTTGGCAGACTTATGCCCCTTTCACTTTGAAAATAATATGAAATTTTCAGTTTCCGTTCATTATCTCCCCAATGGTACAACACATTCAACTCAAACTTGACATATGGATATGTCATGAGAAAATGCAGGTCAAGGTCAAATTTGGTCATGGTTCGATGATTTTTGGCAGAGTTATGCCCCTTTTACTTTGAAAATAATATGAAATTTTCAGTTTCCGTTTATTATCTCCCCAACAGTATTACACATTCAACTCAAATTTGACATATGGATACTTCAAAGGAATGCGCAGGCCAAGTTAAAATTTGGTAATGGTTCGATGATTTTTGGCAGAGTTATGCCCCTTTCACTTTAAAAATAATATGAAATTTTCAGTTTCCGTTTATTATCTCCCCAACAGTATTACACATTCAACTCAAATTTGACTTATGGATTTGTTTTTTAAAATGCACAGGCCAAGTTTGAATTTGGTCATGGTTCAATGATTTTTGGCAGAGTAATGCCCCTTTCACTTTGAAAATGATATGAAATTTACAGTTTCTGTTCATTATCAACCCAACAGTGTTACATATTCAACTCAAAATTGACATATGGATATGTCAAAGGAATGCGCAGGTCAAGTTAGAATTTGGTCATGGTTCAATGATTTTTTTGGCAGAGTTATGTCCCTTTTCACTTTGAAAATAATATAGATACATCTTAGGAATAAGCAGTTTAAGTTTGAATTTAGTCGTGGTTCAATGATTTTGGACAAACTTATCTTTTCCTGAATGTTGGAAAAAATTTTGAACTTTCAGTTTCAGCACTCATACTTTTGTGGAAATGTATATAGCCATTATTTTGGCTACAAATATGCAATATGCTATTTTCAAAAGGTTAAGACTGAATAATTTCAGTGGCTTGAACATTGTATAAAAATGGTTTGTGTTAACATTGAAAAGTTTTAAGGGCTTTGAATTTAGAATGAAAAAAATAATTTGTGCAAACAAATTTGGAACTAAATATTATAACATTTGAAATTTTGGCTGCATGCGGGGGCATCCGTGGCATGATGACACATTTCTAGTTTTTATTTTATTACAAATTATGTTATGTAACAACTGATCAGACAGTTTGTCATGCATCAGAACTGCATGTATGTATTATACAGTTTAAAACATAAAGGTCAAGGTAAACAATTAAAGGTTTAAGGTTGTTGGTCTTAAATACTGTCTGAACATTGATTGGGATTTTTTAATTAGATAGGCACTAATATAAAGCATGATGCGGAAAGGAATCAAACAATCTGTATACTTTGTAATCTGGTTATTTAGTATTCATTCACAATAGGTTAGTCACATATAATATTGTATAATGAGTTGGTGTTTTGTTTGCTATAGGGCACGGTGGAGATGGTTTTCTCAAGTTCCAAGATGCTGAGGAAATATCCAGTGTTGAATTAGCAGATGCTTTTGAACAAATGTGGCAGAAACGCAGGTCAGACACAAATTAGTTATATTCTTATTGAAATATAGTAATTATGTGAAAATTGAGAACTAATATTGGTCTTAGCAGTGTTTATCAACTATTTAAACGTTTGGAGTTTTTGATGCATAGGAATTGACCACAAAGGCCGTAGGTTGATGGTTAATTTTATTCACATCAAAACGATTTATGTTTTCTAATTTCCTTACATAAAATTTTGTTAACAGTTCATAATGAAAAGCATAATGTATACAATGTAAGTGTAGAGAATCAAGCTAACTATGATATTTATACTTGTACTTGCCTTTTGAACTGTACTTGCTATGTTTTCACATGAATCGTTGGAATAGGAAAAGGTTGCCTTATTTATAATGATAACATTAAGGAATAATTCATCATGTTAAGAGTTTAATTGATAAGATAATTCATTATTTTGTAGATATCATGAGGTGTTTTATATGATAGATACATGTCAAGCTGAGTCTATGTTCCAGAAGTTTTATTCTCCTAATATCCTTGCTGTAGCTAGTAGTAAAGTAGGGGAAGATTCACTTTCTGTAAGTTCCTTTATATTTTAATTAGTATTCTATCAATATTTACATTGTTACAACATAAAAGTAAATGATAATGTTAAATGTGTGACATTATACTTGTCATCATGTGTTATTTACTAGTTTATTTGTAATAAGAATGTTTGTTACAAAGTTTTTTTGTTGCCTGATTAAGGGTTCTTGCCAGTCACAATCCTGTCAGCCTCAGGGAAGTAACTGATGTGACTTACTAGAAAATTATCTTATAGAAGATCAAAGGTTCTACCTATGTACCTATCCATACCTGAATTAAAATACATGTTTTGAAGCAAAAGATCAATATAAAAGTAGTACGCTGCACTCAAGACCTCCTTGCATTTAAGGATCCATCTAGTCAGCCCATAAACTTGAAAAATCTTTGAAGTGTTTATTATAATATATCTCTGTATATTTACAGCATCATGTTGACCCTGCTATAGGTGTGTATGTAATTGACAGATATACTTACTATGCCTTAGAATTTCTGGAAAGTGTACAGCCAGGCAGCAAGAAAACCATGGGGCAATTTGTAAGCAAATTTTAACATTCAAATTATTTCTGAATTATGACAAATATAAACAATTATTTTTGCATGTTTTAGTGGAGCTGAGATGTTGTCATATGATGTAAGAATAGAAAACTCAGTTACTAAAATGTATTTCTTTTATCATTTAGATTTGTTACATGTATGGTAAACTTAATCTTTAAAGCAGCATGCCTCCAGATTTATGCAATGAAAATTCTGAAAAATTATTTAAAAGCAATATTTTATGAAGTGATCAAAGAAAGAAATTTACATTTTGCAAACAGCTGGTACAATCCACATAAATTACCAAAGGGAGGTCAAAATATGCGAAAATAGCCCTTACTGCATTAGTAAAGCAGTTGAAGTATGGTGATAAATATTTGCAAAATTAGTCTTTAATCGCACATAACATGTGAATTATTACTTGAGGCTTGAATCTTTTTATGTTTCTTATAATTTTAAGACATTTTGTTAAAGTTTGATTTTCTTGGAATATTTTGGCTCATTTGGAGGCATGCAGCTTTAAGGTAATTCAACAAATTCTCTGATCATGTGGTTTAATTGAATCCATATCTCGTACCTTACTCATGTTAATACATATCCTTTAGTTTAAGTGGTTCCTAAAAGTTACAGTTTTCTTTAATTAGGATATTTAATTCAAATGTTTTTCTATAGTTTACTATATATTGAGTTCATTATTTCAGTTTAAAGTATGTCCACGTGAACAGTGTGTATCAACTGTAGCATTTAGGACAGATCTGTTCAGCAGGGATCCTAATAAAGTATTACTAACGGATTTCTTTGGGAGTGTTCGTAACATAGAACTGTTGACAGAGACTGTACCTTTATCTAACATATCACAGGAGGACACTTGCAGGTAACATTATCCTCTTAGTCGACTATACACTGAAATGCTTAAATTTAACACTTTTAAATGTATAATTATGCTAAAAATGATCTGATATTATAAAAGTTATTGAAATGTTTGTTTATTATATTGGAAAATTTTTAAAACTCTTTTTTTTCTATCTGAAAAGAGGATATTTATTATTTGTTAACAATTTGTAAAGATTACATGTTGCTGTAAAAATATTGCTTTGGTACATTTTATAAAGAAACTTTTATGTTCGGACTAAAATTAATCTGTCCAAATATAATTGAAATCGTTGTTTCATGTGGTACTTGCAATTCAAGCTAATGAGCATGTATTTTCATAAAAAATCTCTGTATTTTTCTATTCATAGTTGCATTATTTTTTCAGGATATTTTTATTCATTTTCTTGTTTGTATGCAAAACTTTATTCATTTTACTTTCAGTAAAGAGTCTTGTAAACAAAGGGAACAACAGCCGTCTAAAGAAAAGTTGACATATGCTAAACAATTTCCTATGCCATCTTGAACCTGGAAATCTATTTAACAATGTTATTCAATCATAAAAATGTAACACGGAGAAGACTGTGCTTATATTATATGAGGAAATATATGATCTGTCTTCAACCAGGAGAGTATAAAGCAGTAATGTTGACCATTCTTACATTACATGTATAATTGTAGTATGTATAACATACCTAGTCTTCATTTAACCCTGTCCATGCTAAATATCTTAAATGGATTTGTCCATCTATCAGTCTAATCAAACCCATTTATTATTTCAAAATATATACTGACTAGCAAACAGTGATGACCATGATGTGACGTCACTGATCACATGGGTAGATTCTATAATCATCAACATTCGGAGGGTTAAATCTTGTAAGATAAATCTCATGTATTGTTGAGAAATCCCATTGCTAATTATCTTATTTTGTTAACACATTAATTGTTGAAGTATTTTATGTTACATAGTATGATCTTATATTAAAATACAGAATATAACTGTATTGAAATGAAATACTGTATCATTAACTGCAAGCCTATAGAATTCAATATGTATGTGTTATTGTGATTACATACACCTTTTTCTTTTCATCACTGTATCATATAGTAAAAACTTTTATAATTCAACTTGTATCCTTTTTTGCAATCATAGTTTCTACACTGTGAATATGTCATTTATATTTTGTTTATTAATTTCTTTATTATACATATGTGCAGCAGTTGCAATATGCCATTTATATGAGGGTACATACCTGCCTGCTGGGGGTGGGGACAATATCCTGATTATCAGCCTTGTGATTTCAGATGTACATCGATCTGGGTGGCTGTAAATATGGCATGTATGGGGTGTTTTATGAATGTGTATGTGTGGGATTGATATTGTGCAATATTTAAGTATTGTATTTTATGACAGTTCTTGTTTAGTTAAATAAAAAGAACAATGAAAATATACGTATTTTATAAAATGTTAGGTAGGAAAAATCCTCTTTCAATATATTCATACATTACTGTTAGTAGCTAGTGAATATTTCATATTTAATCTGCTGTAACTAAGACACCACCAGTATAGATCAAGGCTAGCCTGTATTTCTGTGCTGTCTGGCCTGGCAGTGTATAGCGGTGGTTGTGCTATTTTTCTATATGAAATTTGAATGAACCAGCTGTTCTAAATTCATATGCATATAGCCAAAGTGCCTCTTAAAATCACAAATAAGGTCATGGCTTTAATTAAAGCCGTGATAAAGGAAGAATTTAAGTGAGAGAGAATTAAGCAACAATTTAAATTGCTATGTCCTCCTCAAACATTTAAGTATTTATTTAAAATGATATAATAAACATTTGTATCTTTAATTTTATTGCTTTTGTACAAATTTTATGTTGTAATTCCTATTTTCACTATTTAAAGTGTCTTAAATTTCAAAGGGAATGCTTACTGAATGAACTTCAAGAAATGTTATGATTAATTTGTATGTTATCATAGATTTTATTTATATATATCAAATAAAGCCTGCATCTTTAAATATATCACTTTGAATGTGGTTATCAAAAACTATAACTAAAGAATACTTCATTGTATAATAGATCAATAATATTGTTTGCAAATAAAGTTTTGATTTTTATATAGTATAATTTTGATTGTTTATTAGAAGAAAACATCATGTACATATTTTTTTTTACTTCAGAACAATGGTTAAGTTGTATTAAGTGCTAGTAAAATCAAACCATGTTTTATTAAATGTAACAGTTTAGTGTACTTTTGATACCTGCATTCCATTTTACTTTTTTTTCAAATAAAAGATAAACACACACAATTTTCTTTTTACTTTATGTGTTTAGTTTTTTCGCTCACCTCAACACACGTTGCTCATTTTGGGCTTTTTGGAACGTTGGCTGCCTATCGTCAGTCCGACATCCCAATTTGTTAAAATTACATATCCTGTGTAACCAAATTTAACTAAACTTGCCTGGTATGTTCCTTGCATGAAGCTCTATTTAAGTTTTTTAAATGGTTCCAGCCCATTGCATATATAGGTCACATAAGCTAAAATATATTAAGGGACTTCACTCTTTGGAACAAAACTTATCAAACCCTCTCAATAATTGTTTGTTCATTATAACCCATCAAAATTTGTAGAAACTCACAAAGTGCAAGACTGAGCTTACATATTTGTTGTGTGTCATAGTCTTGTAAACCTCTGTTTAGTTTGATCAATGGCAGTGTATTTAAGATGAGTTTCCAAGGGCCATTGTTATCCTCTTGTTACTCAGTACAATTACATGTTTATTTATCACAAGGAGCTGGGTAAGATGGCATTATGGCGAGGTGACATCACAAGAATACTGTGATTAAGCTTTGTATTGCATGCCCATTCACACTACATGTATAATGATTTAGGTTAGAGATCATCTATGACGTTGATCGTAGTAAGCTATGGGAAACAAGAAGTCTTTTTAACATGTCAAATGGCAGTCTGACACCGGTATTACGAATTTGAAACAACATGATATTCTTCCAACTATTCTTGGTTATATTTGAAAATGACAGCTTTTTCTTAGTCACGCTAAGCTGTCGTAAGAAAAATCTCTTAAATGTCCGGGTAAGGAGAGGGAGGGCGACTGTGATATACAACACTTCTGTCAGGGGAATTCTGCATTATAGTTCAAAGAATACTCTTCTAAACGTAGTGTAACTCCTACATTCATCTACATTTGTATATAAGGATTTTAACCAAACTTTGACAGAGCAATTGTCATCAAGTGCCCTGGTGCATTTTCCGGGATAATAAGTGTATTACTTCGAGTAACTGTGTAATTAAATCTTATCATCCAAGTAATTGCCTAATGGCACAGCATTATTCGCGTTAGATATTTGTTTTAGGTTTCACGAATGCGGATCTTAGATGGGAACAAGATTGGAAAATTAATGCTGTTCCGCCCAGATATATGTCAGGTAGAAAATTTGAAAATAAAATTTCATTATGAACTATATAACTCTCATAAATGTTTGAAAATGGACGGACATATAAATTCAGTTACAAATAGGAAAGTTAATGTTTTGGTTTTTTTCTGAAGAAAAAAATTTAAAATGTGACCAATTTGCTGGCGGCCAAATTGGCATTGTATAAAAGGTCAATTTCAGATATGATAACAGAGTCTGCAGCAGCACGAGAACGAATGTAAACCCCGAACCCGTGAGGCTTCGTGCTATTCACTTGCTTTAGCGATGTCATTTCACAGTTCTGTTTCAATAGGTCCGTTATTGCAGCAAGATTTACATAGCGCTATGAAAGTGCACACGCTCACATGATGTTATCATTCATATATTTTTTAATTGAGATTCAAGCTTTGTAAATTATGTAAGCTTTGTAAATTATGTACTGTACGGATTTTATGCATATGATTATCTAATTTTACTTCTATTACTACATCTGCGGCAAAGTTATGAATGTAGTTCATGTGAGAATCAGAGGAGTATGGGAAAGCAAGGGTTGACATAGCTGGGAAAAAAAGACTGAGTTAATTGCGATATATATCATGACACTGTCCTCGGGTACCGTATACCCTATTCCCCGCAATTTCTCATTGTAAAACCATGTTTACTATCTTACATTTACATCAATTAATGTACATGTTTCACCTATACATCGCAACGATAACGTCTCAGTGGACTAAATTCATGTATATTTAAAATTTATAACTTGTCAGTCATCCATAACTGATAGCATCGTAGAATGAATTGAAACAGGAAACTTCTATAGCCTGGCATCTCAGGAGTATTTTTATGATTTTAATGTTTATAGATTTTTTCTCCCTAGTCTGTTTATTTGCTGATCGTTAATTCAGTCACCCAATAAGCTGAATACATTATTTACTCTATGTATGTGAACCATCGTCATATAACGTTCTAAACACAACAAAATGGCTAGAAAATATATTATAATGACATCACGTGTACTAAATCATATTATATTTCAGTTAATAGGTAAATGTCATGAACCACCTAGCTTGTCCTTTATCTCAGTCTCAAGGTCAATACATAGAAATGCTCCACGCCCTTTATCACAGTCTAAAGGTAATATCAATAAATATGAAAATTTCATTGTCCTTTATCACGGTCTGTAAGTAAATATCTGAATTCTCCTCGTCCTTTATCACGGTCTATAAGTAAATATCTGAAAAATCTCCTCGTCCTTTATCTCGGTCTATAAGTAAATATCTGAAATCTCCTCGTCCTTTATCACGGTCTATAAGTAAATATCTGAAAAATCTCCTCGTCCTTCATCACGGTCTATAAGTAAATATCTGAAAAATCTCCTCGTCCTTTATCACGGTCTATAAGTAAATATCTGAAAAATCTCCTCGTCCTTTATCACGGTCTATAAGTAAATATCTGAAAAAATCTCCTCGTCCTTCATCACGGTCTATAAGTAAATATCTGAATCTCCTCGTCCTTTATCACGGTCTATAAGTAAATATCTGAAAATCTCCTCGTCCTTCATCACGGTCTATAAGTAAATATCTGAAAAATCTCCTCGTCCTTTATCTCGGTCTATAGGTAAATATCTGATATCTCCTTGTCCTTTATCACGGTCTATAAGTAAATATCTGAAATCTCCTTGTCCTTTATCACGGTCTATAAGTAAATATCTGAAAAATCTCCTCGTCCTTCATCACGGTCTATAAGTAAATATCTGAAAAATCTCCTCGTCCTTTATCTCGGTCTATAGGTAAATATCTGATATCTCCTTGTCCTTTATCACGGTCTATAAGTAAATATCTGAAATCTCCTTGTCCTTTATCACGGTCTATAAGTAAATATCTGAAAAATCTCCTCGTCCTTTATCACGGTCTATAAGTAAATATCTGATATCTCCTTGTTCTTTATCACGGTCTATAAGTAAATATCTGAATTCTCCTCGTCCTTTATCACGGTCTATAAGTAAATATCTGAAAAATCTCCTCGTCCTTTATCTCGGTCTATAAGTAAATATCTGAAATCTCCTCGTCCTTTATCACGGTCTATAAGTAAATATCTGATATCTCCTTGTCCTTTATCTCGGTCTATAAGTAAATATCTGAAATCTCCTCGTTCTTCATCACGGTCTATAAGTAAATATCTGAAAAATCTCCTCGTCCTTTATCACGGTCTATAGGTAAATATCTGGCATTATCCTTGTCCTTTATCTAAGGCTGTGAGTAAATAAAAAGAAATATTCTGTGTCCCTTTTCACAGTATTTCGTATATCAGTAGATTGATATTTTGATATCTCCCTTTTTTGTTTTCAGTCCATCCAGGAATATTGCTTGTTCTGTTAGTCAATATCTGGAAATCTACTTGCTGTTTATTACAATCTTTAGGTAAATGTCCTGAACTTTTTGTCCATTATCTCAGCCTATAGGTAAATATATGGAAATTTCAATGTCCATTATCTCAGGCCATACGTAAATATATGGAAATTTCCTTGTTTTTTTTTTTATCTCAGGCCATAGGTAAATAACTGGAAATTTCCTTGTTCTTTATCACAGGCAACAGGTAAATAATTGGAAATCTCCTTGTCCATTAGTGGTATGGAATGCTATTTTAATATAAATGATGTCAATATTACTTAATTAAAATAACCTGTGAGAAGTTTTAATCGATATATGATCAACTAACCATAGCAAATAAATATTATACTGTATAGAAGCTTCAATAAATATATTCACCGAAGTAGCAGGACGCGCATTGGAAAAAAAATATATGATGAAATAGTCTTTGATTTATTCGTTTTGTAATGTAAACACATTTTAAATCGATTTTTATAAATATTTGAAATTATTTTAGATAATTTGATAATATTAATATGGTTAAGCAGAGGACAAATTAAGCTTGGAAAACTAACGTATTTTAAAAGTTATGCGTTTACAGTTATGTATTTTTATCGTTGTATTTTCTCATGCGGGTGGATTTTCATCTCGGGTAAAAGGAACTA